TTTAATTCTTTTTCTCTCTCACTCCACCAATTTTTTATGTATTTTGAGAGAGAGAGAGAGAGAGAGAGAGAGAGAGAGAGAGAGAGAGAGAGAGAGAGAGAGAGAGAGAGAGAGAGAGAGAGAGAGAGAGAGAGAGAGAACAATGTTATAAAGAGGCTACAACTTTTTCATGGGATGTTTATTAATTTGAGATGTGTAAATCTGCTACATGCAAGACAAAATACGAACATTACATATATTTCAAATTTAACAGATTTGAACAATTTCGTAGCCTTACAATGAAAGTTTCTCTTAAAGTCCAAATCACAACATTTGAACAACAAAACAAAGAAACAACTATTTGATTTATTAATCTGTTATTTTACATCTTTGTAATACCATATACGTCGCGTTTTCCTGAATGGGATTTCATAAATACGAACTCCAACGTTTTTGCAATGAAGTTACCTAAAATGACATTTTGAGCAAAAACAAGAGTCAAGAATTTTACCCGATAAGTTTGAACAGGCTTGGATGATACATTTTAGTTCAGATGATGAAATGCATCCATAGTATACATTTTAGTTCAGATGATGAAATGCATCCATAGTAATTATGCTATAATATTTCTTATTGTTGAAAATATCAGAAACAATGTAGCAAATGCAAATTCTATCTACACACGACGACTCTGTTTGATTTTAACTACGGCTGAAAAAAGTAATTCGACATTTTTATTCCTTTTTTCACACATGTTTTAATAAATAAGTTGTCTCAAAGCTAGTCTTGTACTATTTACTCTCCAGAACGTTTTGGCGTTATCTTCATAAAAATCACATTAAATAAATTCTCGTGAAATGTACTTGACATGTCTACCTTAAACGACCATGTTAAATATTTAAACATAACTGTGCCATGTTTTCCTGAAAAGAAGGTGTTAAAAAAGAGAAACATATCTGTGACATATCATCAAGGAAACCCCTAACACAGAATTAATATATTTTCGAGCATTTTATACATTTTACAACGATTATCAATATAATCACTGACTTCGCGTTTACAAAACGAACTTTTAAAGAGTAAGGAGAACAAATAATGATTACAAAAATGCGTGCATTGTTCTGATTATCATTTTGGGTGACATGGAGGCTGTCATGACGAAAGATATTCATAAACTATATCAAACGTGTTCTTTCCGCCGACTCAAAAGGAAGCACTAATGCTGTTTCGTATTTTTGCATTCTCTTCTCTTACGCTTTTGAAATATATGTTTAGATTTATAAGATGACATTTTAAAAACGAATTGGGATTTGAGTCTCTGAAGCTAAAATATTCACTCGCTGACTTGAAAGAAGATACCTAGGTAGTAACACTCTGAGTTTATGATACGGAAATATGGAATGATCAACTGTATCAAAATAAAATAATTTTATACCGTAGGTTTGGCGTTCGATACAGATTTTCTATCCCTACTTCCGTATCACATCGCCACGTAGAATTATTTAGCAGTTTTCTTGGGTGTTCATCAAACGCATCAATCCAACTTTTGAAAATTCTAGATCTTTTATTCACACGTCGTATCAGGAATTAGTACACAATTAATAAAATCCGGTTCAGTACCCACGAATGTAGTCCCAGTCTATTTTTAGATCCCTTTTTCCTGTCAAAGTTTGGTGGTGATACTAGAGTCAGATTTTGGCATTCTTGGTAAGGATTTAAAGGCAAATGTTTATTCTTTAAAATGTGAGCTTATGGTGTGGTTGTCTGTGTGTATTTCGGCGACAGTGCACATTGAGTAATAAGGTCATGGTGATGATCCGCAAATGAAATCTGTGTTCCATTGCCTGGTGTTTTGTTTACAATTCAGCATCTCAAAAAAATGCAGGTCAACCCTTGACAAGAACTAAACCGTAAAGTCATCTTTGAAGGTATTTTAGATTAACATATGATTTGTATTGATTGTCACACAGAAGAAAGTTCAGTACTGAGAAACAAATGTAGAGAGAATATAGTGAAATTAATTGTGTACTATGGCCATCAGACTCGCTCGTACAAGCGCTCATTCCTTTCTTGCTCCGAATCTTGGGAAAGAACTTGTTTGATATGGCTTATGAATACTACTTGGACTGACGGTCTCGAAGTACGACACAAACAAACTTTTCCTTTCTGCAGACTCCAAGAAGCAAAACGAAAACACGTATGTTATTTTCTGTACATATTTTGTCTGTACGAGGTGGCCGATATGGCTGTTTGTCAGAAATGAACCTTATGACCTTATACACACGCAGAACATCTTTTGGGGTAAATGCAAGCAAATTTGACTACAAAGTAATAAAAAGACAATTTTGTGTACATACAAACTAAATCTATTGAGAAAAACATTCTTTTTGTTAATATAATTTGTCAGCAATTAAAAATTATTCGACCATGAAACGTTGGCGAGGTCAAGGGTTAGATGGACAGGACTTTTGTGCACAATACATATCTAATGTATTTACGATGTTTGCATTCAAAAACAACAAGATTCCCCTACTTTCACAAACATCTATGGTAATGAAAAGAATAAAAATTTAGTTTGCCATTTCAGAAAATGTAATATGTGAGATTTCGTGTCACACTTTTAACTCCACAGAAAGAAGAAACTTTTTACACACATGCCCCAGACATGATACCTTTTAACTTTAGTTTGAGTTTTCAGTTTTGAGTCAGATACTAACGTTTCTTTTCGATATATCATTCTCGACCTTCTGAAGAGGTAAATTGAATTTCAAACTCATAATTTTATGACCTTCAAATACATTACATACAAATTCCCTAAAATTATTGTATGCAAATAGCACGTGATTCGTCGTTAACCAATCAGGCGTTAAATTTTCGATTTAATTTGCATGTCTGAAGTTTTGACCTCGTCATGAAGTTTTGTACGAGATTCCGGAAATATTAAGAACAAATATCACTATGGAAGAAAGGCATCGCCTGCGTGAATGAAAGAGGAGTCCAATTTTAAAATGTCGACTGTATTCAAACAATAGATGATCCGAAAAAGAAAAAAAAATAAAATGTGCAGATCAGACTGACAATATTGATATATTATAGTTTCCTGGTGATTAGTCACCTAGTATCGTCTTCCACGTAGGGCCTGAAATATGAAAACACTTGTTAGTTATAAATAATAATAATAATAATAATAATAATAATAATAATAATAATAATAATAATAATAATAATAATAATAATAATAATAATAAACAATAATAATAAAATTTTCCAATCACCACTAAAGGGTCCAAGTTATTCATTACCATCATTTTAACGTATGGAGTGGGTACAAATAACAAATGCCCAATGTTACAAACATCCAAAGTACAAAGAAGAAAGTATACATTATTTAGTTTTAATTCTGATTTGGAAAAAAAATCATTTTGTAGTTCAAGTGGTACAAGACATTCCAACTAATGCAACAATGACATACTTCAGATATCCATTAATTTTAGTTCATTCATTAAACATTTTAATTCAGTACACATCTAGCGCTTAAGTCATTTCCGAAATACAATTTTAGTTATTTTAGCACAATTTTTACATTCGTCGTGCTATTCTTTTTTAAACTTTATATAAACAAAGAATATATCAGCCAGTATTTATTTTATAACCCTGTTGTGATGTGAAATATGATGACTGATTTTTGATGAATGGTTTGAACAGACGTGTCAGTACATGGCCTTTATCCGCTAATGTTTTTCTGATATTTATATTTTGCTTTTCTTTTTTTTTTTTTTTTTTGCTCTATGAAATATTTTAGGATCTTGTGAGATGCTATAGGTAACCACTTCTGCATACACATGTTCATCAAACAATACATTTAAACTTTTGGGAAATGCTGCTGCATTTTACGTAATCACTGTCCTTTAATAGCCATATTCCTGAACAGTCAAGCATAATTTTAGATGACATTCTTGAAACCTACCCCAAGAGAAGGGATGCAATTCCTCAAGATGGCATTGTAAGTGAATCCCGTTCGACACCTGAATCCCCTCTTAGCGGGAGCCATTAAAAGCTTCTGAAGAGCGGCCATTTCTTCTGGAGAAAAGCTGTTGTCAATTTTGGCCTCTTCTAAATTTTTTCCTAAACCATACATCGGGCTTGAAAGTGATGCGGCTTCCGACCATGCTGAAAGATGAATGGGGCCATTATATTTATTGGACAGTGTTCCATGATTTAATGAACCATTGCATATAGTTTCTTTTATATAAGATTACTAGATTTAATACGGTAAATCGCTGATCATTCCCCAGTTTTCAACACAATAAACTAATATACCTCAATAACTTGTTTGGGGACGGAAATGTTTGTGTAAATTTTGTCATGTATAGCAATATAATACAAACTAATTTTATAAATCTATCATGTGTCTTTTACTTTTCATGCATGTCTGTAGATTGCAAATGAGTTATAAATAGGTGTATACAAGTTTTAATATCAACCTTTATAAAAAAAAAAAAATTGTTTACAAGTTTGGGGAAATTTCCAGTTGGACGACTGAGTCAGATTGGTTCAGTTGCGACGTGAGATACAGTGAAATATGGCACCTGGGAGATATAGATCGAGTAAAAAAATATTGCGACGTGTATTAAAACGAAGATGTGGACACTCCTTTTTCATTCTTGTTTTAAAATCAGTGTGTGTGTGTGTGTGTGTGTGTGTGTGTGTGTGTGTGTGTTAACATGGTTTTAAAATAATTTTAGTCACATTACTACAATGTCTGCAGTATAGCAGTTTTTAGTGATATCTAGCACTGAGGCTTCATGTAAAATCACGTACAGCCGAGGCAAATTATCCTGACAAAAGTCCGACTAGACCTAACACTAACTCTTGATGCTGAGTGGCTAGCAAGACAGTTGTTAGTACCATATGTACAAGTCTTTGGTATGATTAAAACCAGTCTACAGATGCATTTAATGTTGTGTTTGAGCTATAATTTGTCAGGACGTGTTTGTTTGGATTATTCGTTGGAAATAACCGCTCCCATGGCCTAGTGGTTAAAGCGTCTGCCTCGGATGCGGGAGATTGTGGGTTCGATCCCCGGTCGAGCCACCATACCAAGGACTTACAAAAATGGTACTAACAGCTGCCTCGCATGGCGCACAACATTAAGAGGTTAGTGTTAGAACTGGTTGGTCTGGTGTGAGGATAATGTGACTGGGTGGGGCATCATGCTATTTGTATGCGACATGATGCTCTCAGTGCTAAAAATCAATATAATTTCTTGGAATTACAAAGTGTTTATTAACTCTAGATTAAAATATTTTTTGGGATTATTGTGAATTCATTCCAAGAATTTTGTTAAATGCCATTGTAATACATCAAGACTAATTTGACACAGTCAAGAATATTTTGGTACATCAGCATATTCGATGACCTAGACTTCATTCCGAACACTCTTCTTTTGGACTTGTGATAAAAAAATTGCAAGATTAATTTTGATTTAATTAAGAATACTGTAAGTTCCTATTAAATTTTCTTTTCCAACTTAGAGCACGAAATTATCTTTTAAGTTTTACATAATTTGTTGGTTTAACTTCTTTCTGTTAATTATTTTAAGACATTGGAGTCGTAACAGAATGGCGTATTAAAAGATTAATGACAGAATATAAATTCAGTTAATTACTATGGCGGCAAACAAAACTCGGTTCAGTCTAATTTCATGAAACAAAGTGTCAGCGTCAAAAAGCTGTTTTGATTCTTGCTAAACGTACCTTATCGTTCACCCTAGTTCTGATAATCTATATTATCCCTCTATTCCGTTCATACTGACCATTCTCATTTGTAACTAGCTGAAACGTGAACATTTTGCGAAAGAGCTCATATTGAAAACACTGTTTCAGTTAACTAAATATGCCACAGGTCGATGTGCAACAAAAAAAGGGATTGACAACCTATTTCAAGCAAATATCGTCCAGATGAAAGACTTTTAAACAGAACGAAAATTATACATACTACATGTAAATGACTAATTTTATGAAACAACTTAAATAGATTCCATGATTTTTCTGGTCTATGGCCGCCAAATCTTTGTAATATTTTAATGCGCTCTCATTTATCCCTGTGTCGTTATTTTGGTGTCATAGGTGAAACTGAATTAATTATGAGATTGTTCGGACTCCATGAAATTTATATTTCAATTAATGCCACATTTTATGTGGGTAATATTTATGTTAGCGAGTTATAATGTTTATTATGAATACGCCTGGCTTCTTTTTTTGATCCTCTAAAGCTCATTTCAATCATGGTTTTCGAAATTTCATTTAACTCCCCATTTTTTCGAACCATAATTTCGGCATTGGTGCACCCTCCGTTTTATCCGTGCCGAATTAATCACGCTTTGCTTAATTAACTTCCACAAATGACTCTTGGATTGTGTAATGTGGTCTATCGCCACCTGTAACGGCGTAATTGCAAAAAATGTTGTTATTTACACCTCCTCAAAACAGTTTGCTCAACATTTTGTCAAAAATATTCTGTAACTGTTTAAAATTAAACTTACAAGGCAAACAAAAATATAGTGTCTTTATACAAAATGGTTATCGTAAATTAATTATTTTGTTTCATTGTAAATTTTATAAGCGTAGAACCATTGATCGCGTGCAGTTACATCTGGGAGAGACTGGTCATCACAAATCAACATTTGTTTACTAAAAAAATAGGTGATATATAGCTTGTATTTATTTATGCCTTTTCGTTCATTTGGACTTAAGTAATAAATGAAATGCTGTAAGATTTTGTTTTGTGATAAATTAGTATTATAAAAATAGTTGCGTCTATGGACTCTGTTTCCCCAGCCATTACTTAGAAGTTTTTGTGTTATTAAAGTTTAGATTTTCACTTATAGCTTTAAAATACTGTAATATTAATGCAAATTATTTCCTACAGAAACAAGGTTTTTATAAAAAGTTTTTTAAAAGCAAGAAAATGTTATTATAGTAGAAACGTGTTACAGGCCCAGAATTCTTTAACTGTCTGAAAGATGGGAATGGGGAAATAAAAGTACTGTTATCTCAGTATTGATCTGTGGATAGTAAAGCAGCAGGTACGCACAAACAATAGATAAAACTAAATTCTTTTGATAATAGCAGCCTCAGAAAGACAAGAGGAACACATTGGAAAATAAGAAAGGAGTGACTGCAGGAATTTACCTCTATAATCGTCAGAAAGAAGAGATGGGTATAACTGGGCCGTGTTATGAGAATAAACAAACCCCACATAAATGAAATTCGCTTGACAGTAGGAAAAATGAAAGAACACAAGAAAAGAAGGTCCCTAAGAGAGGAAACAATTTGTAGGTTTTAAGTAGAATATGAATAAGGGTTTTGCCCCATCGTCCCTGCCATCCATCTTCGCCTCTAACCCCATGACATAGTGACCGTTGTATGTTTAGCAATTTTATTTTTGTATGTATGCTTATCAAACATCGTATGTCCGGATGGAAATGTCCGCAAAGTGGGCTAGTGGGACAACCACCATCCTTTATTATCACTGTGCATTGATTGTGGAAGCAACACAAATTCGGAAAGAAGTGATGTACTCAAACAAGCAAGTTTATGGTACCGATCAATATAGGCATTGACAGAAACTATACTACTCACTAAACTCCTTTCTTATTGGATCTAAAAACTCTTTCGTCATCCGTTTACCTTGTGTTACTCCTTACCGTTGTTCAAGATTATATTCTAATATATTCTTGTTAAAAATATGCGGCTTCTGATGAAATATCTGCAAGGTATAGTAAATGAACCAGCGTTATTGGATGCAGATTTTATGTATTTGATCGTTGAGTTTATTTCTTGAATATGATAGTTCAGCATCAGTAGAGTTTCTTGTTCAAAGGTCTTGAGACTATTAATTATAAACTGTAAATCTGTGTGATTTATATCAGATGTTTGTACCTAAGAGCATTGTCAGAAAGCATTCCATATCTGATGGAATCTGAGCTTATTCGAAATCTGTAAATTCTTTTTTTTCGTATTTGTCAGTGATTTTCCATTTCGGCCAGAATGATTTCATTCTCAGCAGCACTGACTATTTTATCCTTTTATCCCTGACTGTTACCGAGTACAACTTACTGATTTTCTTGAGACTGCTTTGTATATCCTCGAGAAATTCAGAATAAACACGTACTCGGAAATGCAGTATTATCATAGGTAATTTATTTGTACCACACAGAGACAAAAACTAATCTAGATAAAACTTAGACAATAATACCGAATAGTGTACCTATGACAATTGATGTAACCACAAATAGAATCATGGACCAAGCACGCGTGTTTGTATTTTACTATCAGCGCAGTTCACTTGGCGATATCATTTCACAGCTATTGTTCTGATTCGATTTTTTTAATTACATGACAAGCAGACCTCGTCCAGTCTAATTACGAACACTACACTCTTTTGGTGGTATTACGAATACTACACACTTTTGGTGGTATTCAAACATAACGAATATCATCATCTGGAATATTTAGAAATCCTGTGATAGATCAACTTGTTTAGTCCACTATTCACCTAATACACACCGGCTACGCAAACACGTAGCGCTCGTCTTTTCCCAATAACTGTTACCCGAACAAGTGTCCTTGTTACATTTCAGTCGACCAGGATTTTTTTTGTTGTAGTTATCCGAGTCCATGTTAAATTGACATAGCTAACAGAAAATCTGACTGGTGTTGATATATCAATGAATACCACTTTTTCTTATAGAAACAATACCAGAAGGATTTCCATCTATTGCTGAGGCCAATCCTTATGTGCCTCTAAGTGCATGTTCGACGATTCCAAGCCAGCCTAGTGTGGGTTGTGGTACATCAGGGTGATTCAAAAGGCAATTTCAACATGACCCTTTAAAAATGTATTTATGTAGGTACGTTGGTTTGATAACACCAATTTGAAGCAATTATTTCTTGACAAGTGGAGTAAAATTGTTATCGACCTTAACATTTACTGCCAGCTACCCAATTGGTGGTAAATCCTCATCATCAGTTTCATCATCGGAATCAGATAACATCAACTATATAATAATGATAAAATCTAATCATAAAACACAAGCACCAAAGACAGTTAAGTACCTGTAAGGATAAACGTTAAGTCCTTTGTGCACTGAATTCCACCTTCGGCCATTAATGAATTGGATACTGCATTTTTAATAAAAATTTAAACATGGTCAGATCTAAATGCACGCGATTTTAATGACAAGTATCCAAGCTGCTAACTATTATATATATATATATATATATATATATATATATATATATATATATATATATATATATATATATATATATATATATATATATATATATATTTCACAAACGAAAAGTTTTACATCCAGTTATGATAAACAAGATTGATCTGCTGGACTCTAGCATCTTTAAGATATGATCTTTAGGTCTGTCAAGAAAAGTGAAAATACATCGACCTCTTACAATAATTGCGCCAAATTTTTTCCTATCATTCGTTGATTAATATTCCTGAAATTACTTTCCACGAACGTACTACACGTGGTGGTGGTGTCGGTTGTTATCCACGCGTCGTTTAGCTGCTACATTATTATTAGAACCGAATATTTCCTCGACTATACTGTTCCAAGTCTCGCGCTCTCGAGTTCTTTATGATAGGTCTTGAATTAGGAGTGATACCCCGCTGAATCTGTCTGATGACTCGCACGCCAGAGTGAGACAAATATCCCCCTCAATGGGATACTGTCTTTTTCCTGAATCCTAATATGTGTTACCGATTTAGTCGCAGTTGTCGACTGGGTCGCAGTATTGGTCACAGACTAGCCGCAGTCGCCGAATTTGTCGCAGAGTCGCAGGGTCGCCGATTTATCGCAGTCCCCGAATGTCTTTTCTGTGGTCGTCGAGTCGCCGACTGGTCTTCTTCTTGTCGCCGACTTGCTTACAGACTTGTCACAGTTGCAGACTTGTCTCAGTCTCGGTCGCATTCGCCGACTGTGTCGCAGGGTCACCGACAGGTCTTCGTCTCGTAGCCGACTATGTCACAGACATATCGTTGGGTCGCAGGGTCGCCGACTTGTGTTCCTC